TCCAGGGTAGCTGGAAATTGTTTCTTTTTGGCAGCCTGGAAGCTAAAACTGGGTGGCCCTAAGCACACCCCACAGCCCTCAGTAGGCAAAGGCTGCCAGGTTTGTCCTTAGGGAGTTGTACCCCAGGGAGAAATGGAGAAGAAGCCACACATATGAAAAGCATATAATAAACCCCATAATAACACCTACATATTATAGCAAGCAGTGCTATTAAATCAAGTGAGTAAGCATAAACAGAGGTACACAAAGACAAGGAGAAATATGAGCACAGACTCCTCAGAGGAAATCAGAATTTTTCTCTTTCTGCGCAAGTAAATTACCCCTGTTGGAATACTTCTGTCATGAATGCAGACTGAGCAGAAATTTGGTTTCTTATGTTTATAGGAAGAACTTCCCCAAACCACTAGCCAGTTTATTTTATTATATAGAAATTTATATAAAGCTGCTCTCCAGCTATGTAGAGATGGATGGAAATCTTGCATTTTCATGTTTTTAGGTGGTTTGTTGTTAACTGGACTACCAAACACTTGCAAAGTGTCCTGAACATCTGATGAATGGGAAAAATCTGGGGTCCTAAATAAAATTGGATCTGTTTCAATACCCAGTGCCCTGTGCTACCTACCACCACTTGTTTTGTATACAATAGATAAATACTACCAAGAGTTTGGAGGTGTTACTAAGGGCTTGTTTCTGTGACCCCTCTCAAGGCTGTACAGAATGTTCCCTCAGCCTCACACTTCACCTAGTCCTTGTGCTAATATTGTGTTGATGTTTTTAACCACCTGAAATTGATTTGTTTGAATGACCCACATCCCGATGTCAACATGACCACAAAATCAGCAAGTTCGTAAGAAACTGCTTGGACAGAGAAGATAGAAGTCCACAGACAGGAATTTCTGTCTCTCTGGCAGGTTTCCAGCTAGAAGTGGCTATGTCTTGTTGACAAAGAGCTGAGAAGATACCCCGTACCAAGGGGGAACCTGGGCAGGCAGAGACCTGCCCAGGTAGATAGTCAGGAGGATACCCAAACACCACCCTTCCTCCTCATGATTTGTTTTCAGTCTGAATCAGGATTGCACCCGGATGCACTCCCAGGACATGTAAGCACTCATATTTCCTTTTAAATACTTACAGCAGAACAGAAAACACAAATTTTACTGTCTTTGCCACAAAAGTGTGCACAACTACTGTGCAGTCACAACATTAGTGCAGTCTTGGACTCGGCTCTTTCCCATCCAGGACCTTTCTGAACCATTCCTTTATTTCACACAGCTCACTCAACGGGCCCTTTCCAGTCCAACCCAGTACAACATGTGGTGTCCCTTCAGGGATATGGTCTGTTTACCTAAGCTTGATAAAACAGGATTTGACCTGCAGCATGTTGAGGAAATACACCACTGTCTTTACAAAGAAAAGGTAGAAGGAAATCTGAGGTAATGTATCCCTCAGTAAGCCTTTAATCCCCTGGAAACTCATGCACAAACAAATATGAGACAAGAAGGCAGTAAGTTATGTCAAAGCCACGCACATTCTTGGTGGGGCGAGTAGTCCAATGGCAGGAAGGGAAGCCTTAGAGGTCCCTTCCCTTCCCTTCCCTTCCCTTCCCTTCCCTTCCCTTCCCTTCCCGCACCTTCCCGCACCTTCCCGCACCTTCCCGCACCTTCCCGCACCTTCCCGCACCTTCCCGCACCTTCCCTTCCCTTTCCGCACCTTCCCGCACCTTCCCTTCCCGCACCTTCCCACATTACCACAGGACATTCTGAGAAGGAACTATCACCTGGACTGTAGCTACCAAATCACAGAATGTGTTACAAGTGGGATTGTATCATTTAGGGTAAGCCTAAAATTTACATCTTAATGCAGTGACTGCGACAAGAACAGAGAAACTTCATTTACAAAATTTGCAAAGCAATTTCAGATGCTCTGGAAGCCAGGATCAAAACTCAAAGTTGTCTTGGCAAAATTGAAATTAAGTAAAAAAGCAAAGAAATAGGACCCTCGAGAGACTATTTTATCTACCCTCTGGCCATAGGATCAGTTGTGTCAATACAATTGCTTCCAGTAGTTTGTCAAACTTAAAATCTTCTAGTGGTATTTCACATGCTCCCTCTGTGTTTTGGGTTTGTTTCCAAGGTGTAAGTACATTTACCACTTTTTCAAAATAAATCCAAATCTCCCTTAATGTAATTAGTCTTTTTTTTTTTGGTCTTGACCACTCTGGACATAGAAGACATACTGTTTTCTTTCTTTTTGCAGCAGCTGTTTAAGGCCTTTAGATTTATGCCCCACTCTCCTTCTTTCAGTTGCTTTTAAACTGAGAGAATTTGGGTTGTTTTAACCTTTTCCTGAGAACCATATTCTTAGATCTCTGAGCACCTTCAGTGCTTCCCTCCCAATGCTCTCCAGTCAGCACATGTCTCTCCTGAAATGCAGCATCCAAAGCTAGGCCAGGTCCTACTAATGCTGACTAGAGCAGACGCACACTTTTTCAAGTAGTGCTCCTTCTTGCACACCATCACGTGATATTTACCTTCTTGACCCCAGCAGAACATTACTGATCAGCACTTGATTGATTAACTTGGTGACTCCTTCTCCCACCCTCAATTCCTTCCCTGCAGAACAGCTGCCTTGGGGCGTAGGGTAAAACTAAACCTCTTGGAATCAAACCAGAAGCTGAGGGCTCCAAAGCCAGATATCCATGTCTCCATTTTTCCAGGGAAAGGCCAAATGACAGGGAAGATATGAACACAGTTGGTGGCACAGCTTGGATGTATTACAGGATTGGCAAATACTGTTTGGATGTTTTGGATGTCAGTAGTCAGAACAAGTTTTCTGTTTTGCACACATGGATCCATCACTGTGACATGGAGTTGATTTCCCAAAATGCAGACAGTACAATACCAGCAAAATGCTCCCTCTTGCACCTTCTTGTGCATGACATTTCCTTCTAGCACCTGCTAGTGACTGATCCCGATCCTTTTGGAATCAAAGTGACACTGCTTCCCAAAGAACGCGATTCAATCCCAACACGTCACCTCACTGCAGTCCATGACCTGTCCCCTGGGGTCCTGCAGGGAGACCTTTGTGTAGGCAGTGCCTCCTTTGATCCCTGAGCTCTGGGCTCTGGAAAACCAGCTGCGTCACTGGGTCAGCTGAGGTGACCTGAACCTTTAGATGTGTTCCTTTGCTGTTGTTTCCAAGAGCATTGTTTAGGAGACTCGTTTTTAGGCACTGCACATTGCTGGCTAGGGCATTCCCTCCTTTTGCCTAGGCCCTGAGCAAGCAAGGGAATGCACAAGATGTTTCTCCCTACTTTGTCTTCCTTTCCTGTGCTTCAGTTCCTCTTTTCTCCCCCACCAC